GTTCCTAGAGATGGGTTAAATTATGTGTGGCATTAATGCTAGCTCTTCACCAAATCTGTGGTTCTTCTTCCTGGTCACATAGCTGTACTGCCTTTCCACAAAACTAATTCCAGCCAGTAGAATGGGGGCAGAGGTGATGTATGTCAACACCTGCCCAAGACTTTGAAGAAGCAGGTGTGCCTCTTTCACACTGTCCCTATCTGCCTGCTGGGAATAAGTGGTAAAGAGGCCCAGCACGTGGAGGAAGCATCAATGGCAGATGAGGTTCTCTCAAATTCTAAATGAAAGAAAATTGTCCACCAAAAAGGAACACCTACCTTGGCCTGTTATGTGAGCAAACATACTGTATGTGAGCTCTACTGTTTTTGAGCCGTTATTCCTTTTGGAATAATGGAGCCAGGCCCACACTAAGTCACACAACCAAGATTTTATGTTGTAGAGCATGAAATCATTTGAATGCCAGAATTCTGAGCCTTCATCCTGGAAAATAGAAAGGGGACTAGTGGAAAGTGAGGGAAGCAGGGAAGGAATAATAATGTGACTAACCATAAATATTTGTTGCCTATATAACTATGTGCCGAGTCCCGGGTTAAATGTGTTATACATACAGTCTCATTTAATTCCATCTCTTCTTTATGATATTTTAGGCAATTATACTATTATTATCTCCATTATTCAGATATGAAAACTGAGGCCAGGTTGCAGGACTGAGGAAGCCATGATTCAAATCTGTTGACTCCACAGCCAACCTCTGATTGAGTACTCAGTACTGTGTCCTGGGCCCTTTGTGCAATTTTATCTTCACAATGCCTTGTAAAATAGGCTGTCGTATCTCCATTTTAAAGATGAAGAAACTGAGGGTCAAGGATTTATCCAAGCTTACACAACTAGCAAGATTCAGCCCAAGGTCTGTGTAGCTCTCTCTCAAGCTCATTTTCTTCCCATCATGCTTTGAGGTCAGACTATAGGTAGAGGGGGGAGATCATTTGGATGGAGTTTCCCTCCATTTCTGGGCTCCAGTTGTCTTGGAGGTTAATCCTTTAACTCTATAACCATGTGACCACTCCCATCATCACTATTTACCTGCTTCAGAGATATTGGGATTTCTGCCAGATAATGTTCACTAGATTCCCCTAGCATGTCACTGAGGCTATTTTTCACACTGGCTGGGCCTAAATATCAGCCCTTCCTGTGTCACAGCCTAACTGCAGGGAGAGTTCCCTCAGCCAGGTTTGGATCAGTCATGCTCAGGCCTAAATACAGAATGGAAGCCAATGCCATAGAAGCATATTTTTTTTTAATGAGTGAAGGGTTTATGTCCATCAGGAATTATAGTAGATACCAGTCCACAAATCTACCTCAGAAACTCCTGAAATCACGGAGGGCCACTAGGAATCTTATTTTTATAAATACCGATTGATTCTCTGAGAAAAAGCACTACAGGAATGTCAGAGCTGATCAGGACACTGGAACTGACTTCAACAAAGATGGAGAGAGGAAAACTGGCCCACACTCTCATTACATCCCTCCTGGACTCTAGGAGGTTGGATGGTTGACATATCATGGAATCCCTTAAGACCTCACCCCATTTCTCCTCCCTCCTGACTTAATCTGGAGGATTACCGGCATATATATAGTCCATATTTAGGGAAACGGTCAGCGTTCACAGTGGGACAAGATGGTGGAATAACATAAACTCCTGGTCTATGCCATGAACCTGAAAGACCAAAGCCAAGAAGCCACGCTCCCAGATTCACCCATTCAATCAATAGACATTTGTAGTTGAGAGAAAGCAATGAAGTCTCCGAAGGAGCCAGAGATTCTTTGCAATGCAGAGCCAGCTGAGTCACAGTGAGGACTGCAGAGAAACTGCAGGAGGCTGCCCGGGTGCCCACGGGGAGTGAGCCCATCAGGTTTTCATGTTTCCCAGGACCAAGGCTGCCATGGCAACAGCCCTATATGGTCCCAGAGCTTCAGGAAAGGCAGGAAGAGAGGGTTACCAGAAGGTCACACTCTTTCATATGGAAAATCAGGAGAATACATAGGGGTATGGGAAGGGGAGGGCCCACATTCCTCATAGTCAGTGCACATCCAGTCTACAGATGGTAGACAGAGTGAGTCTTTGCTAATACCTCTCTGATCATGTCATCCTTCCCTGACTTTCAATTACTCTTAGGGTGAAGACTAAACTCATTACTGTGCACTACATTAAGCCCAATTTATTCCATGTACTACCCCTCCATACTCTCTGGAGTTCAGAGTGTGATTATTTTATAGCCTGTAAACTCTATGAGGACTAAATTCCTGTCTTTTCAGTCATCATTTTATATTGCACTTAACTTATTTGCCTGACACAGATGGTGTTCAATCAGTATTGGTTGGTTGGTTGGTTGGTTGATGAGTAACTGACTGAGACACAATATTTTGGCAACAGGGTCCTCTGGGTGGCTCAGTCAGTTAAATGTCTGATGCGGGATTTCGGCTCAAGTCATGATCTCATGGTTCCTGAGACTGAACCCCATGTAGGGCTCTGCCCTGATAGCACATAGCCAGCTTGGGATTCTCTCTCTCTCCCTCTCTCTCTCTCTCTCTCTCTCTCTGCCCCACCCCTTCACTCTCTCTCTCTCTTTCTCTCTCTCTCTCAAAACAAATAAACTTAGAAAAATATTTTAGCAACAAAATTAGGTGGGTGTTGGAGCAAATACCTCTGTGATTGTAACCCAATCCCCATTTTCCCTGTGGTTGGGACAGTATGAGAGACGGGCATAGATCATACCCCAATGTTAAATGTTACCAGCGACAAGGGCTTCCATCAAAGACTTACCAGCAGAAGTGAGTTTTACTAATTCAAATGGGTTTTTAGAAAGAGGTGGGAAATGGGCCAACAAATGAACATAAATGATATTTTACTCACCACATAGCCCTAAAATAACTTGGAGGAACACCAGTTCCCTCCCTTTTTTCCGTGATGGTATAACCCAGGGTCAAGAAAATGAGGTGGCAGTCCTGAGTAAAATAGGCTCGCCCTGTTGCCAACAGGATGCCAGGCAATCCAGTATGTCTAGAGAGGTTCTATGAGGCCACCGTGGTCAGGGTTCACTGCCAAGTAGTATCAGGCCACAGTCCTCAGAGTGTATCTCATTTCTGCTAGCCCTGGATATGTGACAGTTTTAATTTTGGTTCCTTCCCTATCGTGGTAGGCTTCACGGTATCAGAGATTCACTCGAGATGGACTTTGAACATAGCATAACGTGGTGGGCAAAATAAAAGACAAGTGGTGAGGAAGGCAGGGCACCTCAGTAGGGTTGGTGAGCACTACGTGCAACCCAGGCCACTCCTTGTTGAATAAGGAAGTATTTCCTGGATCATGAAAAAGAAAAACTGGCACCAGATTTAACACGGTGGCAATAAGGAACTAACGGCACATGTGAATGGAGCTCCTGTTGGCGGAAAGACCAGTGATCGAACGTGGCTTCATTGCTTAAACAAACCCATGCAAAGGTATCTATAGAGCATTACTATCTTTTAACCGTAGAATTTTAAGATTAAGTATGAGAGCGATGTTGTTTACAAGGAGCAGTTTTTTGCTGTATCTTCCAGTGCTAGTAAAATATCAGCAACATGTTAACTGTCAGGCCTTCCCTTGGATACTCAGCCCCACAGACGAGCAACTGTTATTGAAAAGACCTGACATGGAAGCCTCAGACATTGGGAGAGAGACAGAAAGATTTAACACAGATTCAGTGAGTTTTTCTTCTGACAAACCTCACTTTTTACACAGGAGTAGGCAGTTTATTTTCTCAACACTGGATTTCACAATTATTATCTTAAGCTCCCACTGTCTCCTACTTGCTAAGAAATTCTATTTGTTTTCTGTTTTTATTTTGTTGCCTTTTTTTTTTTTTTGAGAGAGAGAGAGAGAGAGAGAGAGAGAGAGAGAGAGAGAGAGAGCGCACACAAGCAGGGAATGGGCAGAGGGAGAGGGAGAGAGAATCTTAAGCAGGCTCCACGCCTGCACAGAGCCCGATGCAGGGCTCAATCCCACAACTTTGGCATCATAACCTGAGTGGAAACCAGGAGTTGGGTGTTTAACCGACTGAGCCACCCAGGCATCCCAAGAAATCCTATTTGAAAAACAGTTTATTTTGAACGTTTCAATTTTTAAGAGTCAATACCAACTATGCAGGGGATGAATTACTCAGTTTCAAAGTTTAACTGTGGTAAAAACAATAGAAGTTTTTTAGGGAGAAACTACAATGTGAATGAGTAAAAAACAAAAATTAAAAATAATAAATGAACATAGGAGATGTAGAAAAGGAAATTGTTTGAAATTACATTGCAACCATTAGATGCCAAATTTTGTCTGCTGAGACATGGGGCACCCTGGGAGTTGCACCTTGCTGGATAGGCTTATTGCTGCTGAGGCAGAAATACAGCAGAATAGAGGTGGCTGTGGATTCCAATAACACAGACTCAGGGTTGAGAGCCACGGTTCTCACCCCAGATGCTCAGGAGAATCACCTGGGGGGGCTTTTAAGCCCACAGTATTCAAGCACTACCCCGAGAGATTCAGATTTCATTCTTCTGGGGTAGGTTGTCAGTATTATTCATGAAGTTCCCCAGGCAGTTCCACTGTGAGCTAAGACTAGGAAATCTTAGGCTAAGAATGGAAGATACAGTTGAGGAAGGTAAGAGAGAGAGAGAGAACACACAGCTGGGCATAAATTCTCCACTCAGCTCAGAGACCCACAAGAACAACAAACCTACTGTAACAAATTTCACCAAGCAATTTATGTAATGTCTAGTGTTCATGAAAACCAATGTACTTACACCATTTATACACTTCTGGATTGTGTCTCTAAAGTACTGGAGGTAATTTTGCCCGCTAAGCTTATATTAAATTCATTTCATTATAGTCATGTTTTTATATTATCCGTAACCTCTTTTCTCATCGTTCTGGCGAATTGAGAGATGACTCTCGTGCGATCACATCCACTTACTTTAATTCCTTGTAATCCGTAGCCAGGGGGGCCAGGAGGGCCAGGCAGGCCTTTCTGCCCAATATTTCCCTGTTGGAAGATGAAGAGAAACCAAAGAGAAACATGAGGAGATTTAGGAAGAAGCAATGTATCTCTGCTCTTGTCTTCCTTCTTCCTTCAGTCCTATCAGGACCTGCATCTGTGCACCCCACAAGCTAGATCATATTTTTTATAAAGCAGTGTTTTTCCAAAAATTTTAAGCCACAGAATCCTTTGTGAAAATCTTACACATAATCCAAATGTAAGTAAAGAGGCAGGGCAGGGCTGCTTGACCAAAGACGAGTGTTGTCCCAGTCACCTTGTCTGCTTGGGCTCCTCTGGTTGAACCTACCACCAACCCCTAGAACACCAGGGGTGTGAAGGCTGCTCACACATAATTCTGTGTAGCCTCCAATGTGTTGTTCCATTTCAACATGGAGTGCTATTCACCGGGCTTGCAGTGAAAGGTTCAGTGGATCAGTATCAAACTTTTTTTTTTTAATTTTATTTACACCCAAATTAGTTAGCATATAGTGAAACAATGATTTCAGGAGTAGATTCCTTAATGCCCCTTACCCATTTAGCCCATCCCGCCTCCCACAACCCCTCCCGTAACCCTCAGTTTGTTCTCCATATTTATGAGTCTCTTCTGTTTTGTCCCCCTCCCTGTTTTTATATTATTTTTGTTTCCCTTCCTTTATGTTCATCTGTTTTGTCTCTTAAAGCTCTCATATGAGTGAAGTCATATGATATTTGTCTTTCTCTGACTGACTGATTTCACTTAGCATAACACCCTCCAGTTCCATCCATGTAGCTGCAAATGGCAAGATTTCATTCTTTTTGATTGCTGAGTGATACAGTATCGAACTTTTAAGAAAATCTGCAAATGAAGCAGAAAGTGTAGCACTGCCCAGTGTGTGCATTCTGCAGCACAAGTTAACCCCACGCTTCTTGGGGAAAGTCTCCTGTGGTCAAATGAGATTGGAAAATGTTCTATCCCACCGTGTGTGCCTCTCCTTGGAGATCCCTAGTGCATACAGGCATACCTTGTTTTATCGTGCTTCGCTCTTGTGCTTCCCAGACACTGCATCTTTTACAGATTGAAGGCTTGTGGCAACCCTGTGTCAGGCAAGTCTATCCGTGCCATTATTGCAATAGCATTTGCTAACTTCCTGTCTCTGTCACGTTTTGGTAATTCTCACAATATTTCAAACTTTTTCATTATTATTATATATATTTGTTATGGTGATCTCTGATCAGTGATCTTTTTTTTAAGTTGATTTTTTTTATCTTGGGGGGCAGGGAGAAGAACAAGCTAGGGAGGGGCAGAGAGAGAATCCCGAGCAGGATCTGTTCTGTCTCCCACTTATTAAGAAATTCTATTTGTTTTCTGAGAGAGAGAGCACGCATGTGCACAAATGAGATGCAAAGAGAGAGGGAGAGAGAGCATGTGCATAAGCAAGGGACAGAGAGAGAGAGGGAGAGAGAATCTTAAGCAGGCTCCACACACAATGCAGAGCCCAACACAGGGCTAGATCTCAGGACCATGAACTCATGACCTGAGCTGAAATCAAAAATCAAAGGCTTAACCGACTGAACCATTGAGGTGCCCCTGATCAGTGATCTTTGGTGTTACTATCATAATTCGTGGGGGGGGGGGGGCCAGGACACAAACCACACCCGTATAAGACAGCGAACTTAATCTATAAACGTTGTATGTGTTCTGACTGCTCCAGCAATGGGGACATTCTCCTGTCTCTCTCCCTCTCCTCAGGCATCTCTATTCCCTGAGACACAAGAATATTAGGGGCTGATGCAGCTGGTGACCTGAAGTTGAAGCCAGTTATCATTTACCATTTTTAAAATCCTAGGGCTCTTAAGAATTATGCTAAATCCACTTGGCTTATGCTCTATAAGGAGAACAATAATGCCCGAATGACATCTGTTTGCAACACAGTTTACTGAATATTTCAAACCTACTGTTGAGGTTTACTGCTGAGGAAAAAAAAAAAAAAGAAAAAAGATCCCTTTCAAAATATTGACAGTGCTTGTGGTCACCCAAGAGCAACTGATGGAAACAGACAATGAAAGTTGGGTTGTGTTCATGCCTGCTAACACAACATCCATTCTGCAGCCCATGGATCAGGGAGTAATTTTGACTTTTAAGTCTTATTTAAGAAATACAGGGGTGCCTGGGTGGCTCAGTGAGTTAAGAGCCCAACTTCAGCTCAGGTCATGATCTTCCAGTGGATGGGTTCATGCCCACATCAGGCTCTGAGCCTGGAGCCTGCTTCAGATTCTGTGTCTCCTTCTCTCTCTGCCCCTCCCCCACTCATGCGTGTTCTCTCTTTCTCTCTCTCTCTCAAAAATAAATAAACATAAAAAAAAAAAAAAAGAAGAAATACATTTTGTGGAGCACCTGAGTAGCTCAGTCAGTTAAGCATCTAACTTCAGCTCAGGTCATGGTCTCGGGATTCTTGAGTTTGAGGCCTGAGCCAGGCTCTGAGCTGACAATGCGGAGCTTTTTGGGATTCTCTCTCTCCCTCTCTTGCTGCACCTCCCCTGCTTGTGCTCTGTCTCTCTCTCAAAACAGATAAACATTAAAAAAAAAAAAAAAAGGAAATACATTTTGTTGTAGGAAATGTGAAGAATTACTGAAATGAAAACAAAGAATTTAGAATATTGAATAAACTTAGTTGATAAAGCAGTGGCAGCATTTGAGAAGACGACTCCAATTTTGGAAGAAGATCTATTCTGGGTAAAATGCTATCTAACGCGTGCTACAAAGAAATCGTTTGTGAAAGGAAAAGTCAATCAATGCGGCTAACTTCATTGTCTTATTTTAAGAAATTGTCACAACCTGCAGCAACCCCCACCTTCATCAGCCAGTGACCTTTAACATGGAATTAAGACCCTGTACCAGCAAAATGATTACAACTCACTGAAAGCTCAGAGGATGGTTAGCATCTTTAGCCATAAAGCATTTTTAATTAAGGTATATTCATTGGGCTTTTTTAGACATAATGCTATTGCACCCTTAATAGACTAGAAGATAATGGTTTTATATGCACTGGGAAGCCAAAAAATTCATTTGACTCTCTTTAGTGTGGTACTTGCTTTATTATGGTGGTCTGGAAATGAACCCTCAGTGTCTCCAAGGTATGCCTATATGAATATATTAAAGCCTCTAAAAAGTCCCACAATAGAGAGATTAGTTTGACTTTGCTTATTCCAGAAGTTCCCAAAGTAACATTTGATGGAATAAACTTTTGAGCAAGGCTGGATGAACATAAGTTACAGTACAAGTCAGTCTTTTTTTCTTTCCACTATAGGCAAAAGCTTTATTTATTTATTTTCTGATTGTAAGAGGAACACCTGTTCACTTGAAGAAAATAACAAACAAAAACTAAAACTAAAAACAGAAATAAAGATAACAATGAAGAAGGAAAAATGGACCCCTCTTTCCACCACCCAGTGATAACAACTACTAACATCTTGGGTATGTCTTCATCCATATCAAGTGATCCATAAAGTTAAGAAATCGCCTACTGCCAGAATGAAGTTGATGGACAAAAAAGGATAAACTAAGAATCGTGGTAATTCTGGGATCCTCAGAAAAATCTTTGACTCATAGAGCCTTTTCCCTTTCCTCTCTGATAATGGGGCTCTCATTCATTTCTGTGCATCTTGGTCATGAATATACATGTTTGAAATTTGCATGTGTAATGAGAGGCTCCCTGACGCCCGTTTTCCCTATGAACATGCCTGATACTTTTTTATTTTAGTTTTTGAACAAATCAAAGAATTTTTTGTTGGGCATGTGAATCAATGGTTAAAACAGGGCTTCTGAGCCTCTGAACTCTTGCCATTTTGAGCTGCCTAATTCTTTGTGATGGGTGCTATCTTGTGTACAGTATGATGTTTAGCAGCATCCTGGGCCCCCAGCTACTACCTGCCAGTAGCACTCCTTCCCTGGTTGTGACACCCAAAAATGATTCCAGACATTGCCAAATGTCTCCTGGGCGCAGACCAGGAAGGCAAGAACTCCCTCATTGAAAAACACTTGATTAAGAGAATGAAAGATGAATAATCACCAAAAGGGACATGGAAAAAGAAAGAGGAATAGAAAACAGAGCAAAGGGATCCAGAGGCAGTTTCTTTCATGTTTTATGGGGGCAATAAATCTGGACCCTTGCACTGAGGCCCTAACAGAGTGGACTACGCACATATGTCACAATAGATACATTAGCAGGTGTTCTGTTAAAAGGCCAGCAGAGGCGCCTCCGACCAAAGTGAAGATGTGCTTCTTAAGGAGAGCACAGCCTTTAAGAAACCTGGAAATATTTTGAGCATTTTGCAACCACTTCCTAATTTCTTTGGGGGAAATAAATGGCTTTATGAAATTATGATCTATTTTACTGAAAGCTCACATAATATGAGAAACTGAGACTTTTCATCAGCAATCAAGAAAAAATAAGTCAACGCTAAAATAAACATTTGCTATGAAGTTAATGTTCACTTGGTACCTGACCTTCACACAGAGCACAGAATTTAAGACTCACCTTTGGCCCCTGGGTTCCTATGCCCCGAGGCCCAGAGGGACCTGGGGGGCCTCTGACACCAGGCTCTCCCTGAAAAGACACAATGAATGACAAGTCACTGATTAAAGTGAAGCTTTATGTGGTATATTTTATATAAAATGTCATATTTCATATTAACAATATTCCATATGAACTTTCATGTAAGAAAATATATTTTAAAACCCAAACCCTTGAATTTGAGATATTAATTGGGGCCTTTTCTATCAGCTCACTTCCCTATACTTGACAAAGGGAATGTTATCGCCCTTTGTTTTCACTTCTTATTGCCATTTATGCAATCTTCCAGCCAACTGATATGGGTACACTTCAAAGCAATCAAGTCAGTTAACTTGTGACAACATTCCTAGGTGCTTTTTTTCAGAGCTCCCTTCTCTGGAATTGGAAGTGCCACCATTGTGAGTGGAGAGAGAAAGACGAGACAAGAATAAAAAGAAACCATTGAAAGGTAGAGCTCCAACCCGAACTAGTCCCTCCTGTTCTTTCATATAACAAAGATTATGCTACTTGGGGTACGGATGAACTTTGTGATACTTCTGCCCCAAGAGCAGTTGAGGCTCCAGGAAAATTCCTATAAAGTGTTTTCAGAGTCCCGTAAGTGTTTTAGAACAGGCAACTAGCCCAGAGAAAAGGTAGGGCTTAATTGGGGTAGGTCCGGCCCTGTGCCTAGACCCATGTGAGATGTGAATGATAGGAAGAAGCAGAGAAATGAAAATCTCTTCATCAAACCACCTTCTATGTACCCAGCACTGTGCTGTGCACGTTCACATATGCTAAGTGATGTAATTTAGTACTCGCGACAATTCTGCATCACAGTGATGACTAACTTACCTAACTTCTCTGAACCTCAGTAAATTCATCAGATACACAGAAAGTCATACTTACATTTCATGGGGAGACAGAGAAGTGAGACAAAGAATGTGAGTGTGTCTATCACAACGTCTAGCTGAGTAGGCACTTGGGAAATATTAACTCCTTATTGCAGCTTTTGTCTTTAAAAAAATTTTAAGTGTTTATTTATTTTTGAGAGAGAGACAGAGTGTGAATAGGGAAGGGACAGAGACAGAAGGAGACACAGAATCCGAAGCAGGCTCCAGGCTCTGAGCCGTCTGCACAGAGCCCAATGCGGGACTCAAACCCACGAACTGTGAGATCATGACCTGAGCTGAAGTCAGATGCTTAACCAACTGAGCCACCCAGGTGCTCCTCATTGCAGCTTTTATTAAAGAGGAAACTAAAGTTAGCCCAAAGCTGCACAGCTATTGAGAAGTAGGACTAGGAGGACAAGGAGAAGGAGGAACCCTCAGTTGCTGGTACAGCCACTTAGGAAAAGTTTGGTAGTTTCTTAAAAAGTTCAGCATCAATTTACCATAAGATCTAGTAATTTTACTCCTGCACCCAAGGGAAATGAAAACATATGTCCACACAAAGACTTACAAATGAATGCTTTTAGCAGAGTCGTTCATAATAGCTACAAACTAGAAACCCTCTAAATGCCCATCAACTGATAAATGGATAGACAAAGCGTGGTATATTCCACAGTAAAAAGGAATGGACTACGGCTGTATGCTACAACAGGGGTGAGCCTCAAAAGCATTAATCTCAATAAAAGAAGCCAGATATATGAGACCACACATTGCTTGATTCCATTTGTATGAAAAGTCCAGAGAAGGAGAATCTATAGAGATAGAAAGCAAATCCATAATTGCCTGGGACCAGGAATAGGAACTAGGACAGGATTAACTGTAAATGGGCATAAGGGATTTTATTGAGAGGAAGAAAGTGTTCTAAAACTGATTTATGGTGAGGCCATACAACTCGCTAAATGTACTTTAAAAATCATTGAAAAATACACTTGGAATGGGTGAGTTCTGTGATATATAAAATATGCCTCAGTGAAATTATAAAGAAAAAAGGACAGAAACCAAAGCCAGGCTTTGAAGGTAAATCTCCCAAGCTCTTGTCCCAGGTTCGCTTTCATCCATGTTCTGTTAGGAGCTAAATACCTTATAGATTTCAACAGTGCAAAGATCATGGATTATAAGAAATGATGACATTGTTTATCTAGCAAAATAGCCCATCCTTATTTAAATTTACTCTCTATGTATAAATCCTAAAGTACTTCTAGAGAAAACAAGGCCTTAAAAGAATTAGAAAGCATTTAAGCTTTATTTTATTACTGACTTAATTCTTTCAATCTCTCTTTTCATAATTACCTATTTTCCTTGTGCTTGCAGACCACTTTTATGATGTGGGTCTCCTGTTACCGTCTCTTCCACTTAGTTCTTAGCTGCTTTTGTGGTCACAGGTACTAATTCTCTAACGCCTCTCTCCTTCTGCCTCCCAACTTTTGGGTCTTAATTGACCCCCAGATTCTCCCGGCTTAAATGATCTCTCCTGTCATCAAAAGCTCCAAGTAGAGAACATGAACATGTCCTATATCACATACATTTCTGCTGTCTCTCCTTTCCTAAGTATCTCTGATGTGCCTTTAGAGGCAGTATATGTAAGTTCGCTGGGGGAGGGTCTCCAGCTATACCTGACTCACACTCACGCTGCATTTTGATACCCTCCAGCAAAACAGAACCCAGGTAAATATACTTCAGTAGATTTTACCCAAAATCATTCAACGTTTTATCAAAAATAATTGTCTTCTTTGCCTGGTTACTGTCAACTCCACCCCAGATACAATGGCTCCCTCTCTTGTGTTTCTATTCACCTCTCCCCTTCCACAGTGAGGTTGGAAAGCATATGGCTGCAACCTGCTATGCGATGGGGAGTACACAGCCCCACCTGGAAAGAATTCTGCTAAGAAAAACAGAACCTGTATTGAGGAAGTCTCTAAATCTGAGGATGCGGAAACCAGAGGATGTTTCTGTACAACCAGAGGATGTAGAAACATGTAACACCATAAGAATAGCGTGGGGTACTTCAGTGTGTTAAGTAAGCATCTGACTTCCGCTCAGGTTGTGATCTCGCAGTCAGTGAGTTCAAGCCCCGCATCCAGCTCTGTGCGGACAGCTCGAAGACTGGAGCCTGCTTCAGATTCTGTAACTCCCTCTCTCTCTGCTCCTCCCCAGCTCGCTCTCATGCATGTGCTCTCTCTCTCTCAAAAATAAACATTAAAAAAAAAAAAATAGCGAGGATGAGACCCTCAAGGACACAGAACTCATCTACACAGAAAGCCCAAGGAAAAAACAAAGGATGACTAACCTTTGATTAAAAGAGACTTACGAAGCATCTCAATCAAATGCAATGTGTGGACATCATTTGGATCCCAATTCAAACAAACCAACTGCAACAAATTTGTAAGACAAGCTGGTAAATTTGTTTTTTGTTTTTAATTTTTTTAACGTTTATTTATTTTTGAGACAGAGAGAGACAGAGCATGAACGGGGGAGGGTCAGAGAGAGGGAGACACAGAATCTGAAACAGGCTCCAGGCTCTGAGCTGTCAGCACAGAGGCCGACGCGGGGCTCGAACTCACGGACCGTGAGATCATGACCTGAGCCGAAGTCGGCCGCCTAACCGACTGAGCTACCCAGGCGCCCCTCAAGCTGGTAAATTTGAACAGCGGATATTTGGTGATACTAAGAAATTATTAATATTGTTTAAGGTTTGTTAATGGTACTACAATTACATTTTTAAAATTTTTTAATGTTTATTTTTGAGAGAGAGAGAGAGAGAGAGGGAGAGAGAGAGAGAGACAGAACATGAGTGTGGGAGGGGCAGAGAGCAAGATGGAGACACAGAATCTGAAGCAGGCTCCAGGCTCCAAGCTGTCAGCACAGAGCCTGAACTCACAAACGCGAGATCATGACCTGAGTCAAAGTCGGATGCTCAATCGACTGATCTACCCAGGCGCCCCTACAGTTATGTTTTTAAAAACAGCTTTTAATTTGAGATATACATACTAAACCTTTATATGAGAGATGTGTGGGATAGGCTTCAAAGTAATGCAGCAGGAGAGGGGGAAGAAGATAATAGAAGATTGGCCACATACTGATAGTTGTTGAAGTGCAACAGGCAAATGGGAGTTCATTTTACTAGCCTTTCTACTTCTATATGTGCTTGATAATTTTCAGAATAAAATGTTTTTAATAGTATTTTTAAAATCCATCAACAATATCTGATAACAATCTCACCAGTGAAGGGGAGGAAAGGTTACTGTGATGTTCACCTTTAATGAGAAGAAGAATACAAGATTTTAAAGACAAAAATATGGCAAAGGGTAAAAGCACACAAGTGGATTCAGTATCATTAGAACGTACATGTCTTTGATGCATTCTTGGCATGTCCCAAATGTTATATGACTTTTAAAAATTAAGTATATGGAGGCAAGGTAGGAGATTTTTTTAACTGAGTAAATATTTCTTTTAAGAAAGAATTCAATACTCTACAATTTAATTCGTGGTATTTTGTGTGTGTGTGTGTGTGTGTGTGTGTGTGTGTG